CCTTTCTAGCTTGCGAAGGTGTTCTAGGAATCTGTCGCTAAGAGTTCCTTCATTGCCTGCTGATTGAATCAGCAGGTTTCCGCATATTGTTTCAAGTAAAGAAACTCAAAAGTTGTCCACAACGGAATTAACATTGCAATACTTCCTGCCTAAATACAGCTAGGTGGTTACCATCGTTGGTAACATCATTGTAAAAGATGAAACGAATTTATTTGATGTTGGTGCCGAATGAAAGCTGGTTGATATGTTTGGTGTAAGAAAAAAACACAAAAGGGACTTGCTTTCTCATAGCGTAGCACCCTTTTGAAATGTAACCAACAATTCGAAATGGGTTTTATACGTTTACTGATCCTTCAACGGGAAAAATGCTTCCAAACACCTAACGCACAAAATAAAGAAAACAAACTTGCATGACATTGAAAACAATGGCAAATGCATATAAGTCTGAGCTAATCAGACATCCATTTCCGAAAAAGTTAAACCGCGAACAAAAACAGAACTCAGTCAACGAAACGTGATGTTGTTGATCGTTCTTTCTCGTATGCGTTCGTGAAAGTCGTTTTCAAGTAAACCATGGTGGCCAAGGCAACGAGAAAGTGGCGAAACAAAAATGTTTAACGAGTAGAACAATAACTCAGCACGCGTGTTATCAAGTTCCGGTGTGAGAACAGGAATCCCAATTAGTCCAACTAACGAATTGTCGAGGTGCTTCCACTTCGAACCACTCAACGCTGTTCACTAGTAATACCGAAGTTGGGGTTTGGCGCCCTGAAAAACGGCTAACAAAGCAGCCATTCGCGAAATTATTAAGCAAAATACTAACTCGTTTTTTTTATCGACATTTTCCTCTGCGTTATCGTCTTTCTTGATCCCCGAGTTTTGCGCGAATACTTTTTAAAACCGGGCCAGAAATAGGCTAGTTTAAGTCACGTTTTACGCCAGTATTTCAGCCGAGGTTTAATAAAATTGAATGAAAAAAGGTGGATAGTTTCGAAAGAAACTGTTTGGGGCTGCGTCGGTGGGAGTAACGAAATAATTTGGATATATTCGTTAGAGCGTTAGCCCTTCGTCGGAGCGAAACCATTCGCTCCGACGAAGGGCTAACGCTCGAAACGTCAGCTTTTGTAATCATTACGGTGACCAATTTACCATTTCAACTTTGTTGATATATCCAAATCATTTAATAAAATTGGTTTACCTACGGTAGAATTTTAACCCAGAGAGGTTCAGAAAATAAAAAATATAGCGTTTGAATATAAATATTTCAAATAATGAACGGTATGATAACTTCATTTCACTACTATACTGAACTTGGTATTAATGAGTGATAAAAACATGGAACTGTTTAGAAATGAAGAAACCGTACGCCTTTAGAGAGCACTATTTTGGTATTTATCTTGCGGCTAATTTGTTTAAAGGCTGATAGTTTCTAAAGAAACTGTTTGGGGCTGCGTCGGTGGGGGTAACGAAATAATTTGGATACAAATTAATTTGTTTAAAGTTTTAGAGCTAGCCTC